TAGCTGCTGATATAGACAGCTAATTGTTCTCACACAGAATGCACATGTTAGTTTGCAGTTGGCTGTAGTCTGTATGGTTTGTTCAATCGCAGCTTTTTGGTCCAGATGCTGCCGACGCAAGGAGACAACACCGTCGGCTTTTGTGGCCGCTAGTTGTTTGAAGTCGGCTTGGTGTGTCCCGGCCTTAAATGCTTTTATGTTGCTTTTCACATCTTTTGCTTTGTGGCTTTAAACTGTGGTTAACTTGTATTTATCTTTTTTTGCTTTAGACCAGCTGGTGCTGAAAGAGGAGAATCAAGATCCAAATGAAATGGAACAGACAGATCAGTGTGAGAAACACCATGATTTCATAACTGGTGAAAAAGCCACACAGTCTAAAACGGCTTCTATACGAAAAAGAGCTCAGAAAACCAAATCTAACAGCTCTTTCACCTGCCATCATTGTGGAAAGAGCTTTGCTCAACAAGACGCCCTCAAAAGGCACATGAGAATTCACTCGGGAGAGAAGCCTTTCACCTGCCAACAGTGTGGAAAGAGCTTTGCTCAACAAGGAACCATCAAAAGGCACATGAGAACTCACTCGGGAGAGAAGCCATTCACCTGCCAACAGTGTGGAAATGTTTTCACTCAAAAAGCAAACCTTCAAAATCACATGAGAACTCACTCGGGAGAGAAGCCATTTACCTGCCAACAGTGTGGAAATGTTTTCACTCAAAAAGGAAACCTTCTAAGACACATGAGAACTCACTCGGGAGAGAAACCTTACACTTGCCATCAGTGTGGAAAGAGCTTTACACAGAAAAACAGCCTTCAATCTCACATGAACATTCACACTGGAGCGAAACCTTATACATGCGAACAGTGTGGAAAGAGTTTCCCTGCAAAACAAAACCTTAAAATCCACATGAGAGTTCACACTGAAGAGAAGCCTTACTCTTGCAAGTATTGTGGAAAGAGTTTCGCAAATGCATACTCCCGTAATTACCACATGAGAATTCACACTGGACAGAATGTGTTCACATGTGATCTTTGCGGAAAGAGCCTCGCAACAGAATTTAGCCTTAAGTGTCACAAGATGATTCACACTGGAAAGAAACCCTTCAAATGTGATCAGTGTGGAAAGCGTTTCATATGTAAGGTAAGACTTAATTACCACATGAAGACTCATTCAGCAGAGAAATGCTGTAAATGTGATCAGTGTGGAAAGAGTTTCATATGTATGGTAAGACTTGATTACCACATGAAGACTCATTCAGCAGAGAAATGCTGTAAATGTGAAATAGTGTGGAAAGAGTTTCATATGTATGGTAAGACTTGATTACCACATGAAGACTCATTCAACAGAGAAATGCTGTAAATGTGCTCTGTGTGGAAAGAGTTTCAGGAATAAAGGTAGCCTCAATGCTCACATTAAAAAGCAACGCACTAGAGAGAAGCCTGTGGGAAGAGCTTCTCATAAATAGAAAATCTTAAGATTCACATGAAATATGTGTGGAATCATGTGAAGAAACCCACATGAGATTTCACTCAGGGGAGAACTATTTCATATGCCTGCCATCATTGTACAAAGTGTTTCACAGTCAAAGGAAACCTGAAGACACATAGGAGTTAACACTGGAGAGAGGCCTTTCAAGATCATTCTGGAAATAAAGTGTGACCGTGACGAGGTTTACCAAAAGAAGCAATTTTAAAAATCCCCAGCATATTCACTCTGGAGAAAAGCCCATTAACTGTGATCAATGTAATACATTTATTTTGACATTATACCCGATAGATGCACCTAAGAAGTCATGAAAATGAGACTGTATTTTTGTGCTTTGTGGAGAAAGCTTAAAACGGCCCTACAATTCAAAATAGCACAAGAAAATAGGCATCTGTTTGAAATGTTGTTGTTTTTGTTAACTTTTTTTATACTTGTCTTGAGGCTTTTTGTTTTTTTTTATAAATGATTTCCTGTATCCACACCTGTCTCCTTTGCTATAGTTTCAAACATTACAGTAGACACTCTAATTTTGATGGTATGGAGACATTGCGCCGTTCCGTTTACTGGTAACTTGGAATCAAAATATTACATTTCTGTCTTACTGCAAAATGTAACTGATTATAAATAAAATTGCGAACTGCATAGTGAGCATTGCATTGAATTATTTGATGCATCTTTAGCAGTGTTGGCCATGTTACTTTAAAGAAGTAGTTGATTATAGTTACTAGTTTCTTCTCACAAATAGTAACTGAGTTACATCATTATAAAAGTAACTAATTTACCAAGGAAAGTAACTATTGTTACTTTTTTTTTTATGTTCAAATGTGTCAAATAACTTGGATGCCCCCAATATTAAATATGTTGAATGAAATGGACTCTAAATAGAGTAAATTATCATTATAAAACATTGTACACTAATCTACACTATTTTAATGTTGCTGTGTGGGACAATGTGAGAGACACCGGTCAATAAATATATTATCTTTAATATAGTTGCACAATAACACAATA